CAATTAAATGAACATTTGAGCACATACCGCAGGACCCAGTCATGTCAACATGGGAGTGTGTGATAAAGTATGCACAGAACTGTCTTCAACATTTTCTGGGAGGTATCTTTAAAACACTCATGTGTTTATGGGAAATACAGAAAGTTATGCGTACAGAGACTTCTACATTTGGTTCTGTGTTGCTCCACTAAAATGAAATTTAAACTGAAAACTGATTATCTGGCCCAAGAACACCTTACAAATGTCAGAAGGAAATGACAAAACTCCAATTATCTTTAGCACCAGAAAATCAAATTATCACTTTACCTAGAAGAAGGTGATAAAGGGGAATAAGGAAAATGCTTCTTGATAACCTGAAAAACGTGGATCAGAAGCTTGATTAGGCAGTCACCACCCAAGAGAATATTGTGAATATTATTAGTAGCTGTTAAAGGCAAGAAGTCCTAATAGATACTTGTTGAAGGGAAGGCAGGCATAGAACTGGAACTCAGGAAACCAAAGTTGTATTATCAGTCACGTGGAGGACGTCATTTCACTCTCTCTGTAACTCACTTTTACTCACCCATAAAATGACTGAGTTAAATTACAATCACTAAGGATTCTATTTTTAATAACTTTTTTCCTTTGTTGCCATAGCAGAAAAAGTCAGTAAGAAATTGTCATGTTTCTTGGCAAACATTGTTTCAAATTAGGCTAAGTATTGGAAATTGAGTTACTGTTACCCCTGGCGGGGGGGGGAGGGAAGGGGGGGTCTTTGAAAATTTTGAAACTAAAATAAGAGCTGCGACCATCATGACCACTTTCTCTGAACGACTAGAGTGACAGTCCCTAGCACTGCAACTTAGAATTGTACTATATCATATGTCCCCCGCTAAGGCTTCTTTCCTTTTCTCAGCCATTTCCTCTGTTCTTCTTTCTCGTATTCTGCATCTCACCAACATGCAAACTTAGCTTCAGGGAAGCTGGAACACTCCGCCCAGGGCTGACTGTAGGTTCCATAGCTATGTGTAGGACTCTTGCATTAATTCACTGATTCAACAAGCGTTCGGGAGCGCCCACTTGGGCCATACACTGGATGAGTAAGAAGGGAAAAAATCAGTCTCTGCTTCAAGAAACTATGTTCAGGGCTAGCGCACGGATGTGCCCGCAAGGCCCTCTCTGGATCCCCCAAAAGCAAGCTCAGGTTGGAGGGCCGGGCCAGGGCTGCAGATTCCACCTTCCGACCTTCCGGGAGGGCGCCTCCTACTGGCCCGAACCGCACCAGCAGGCTACGCTGCGACCGCGGGCCGCCCTCTCTGCCCGGCCGAGATGTCACGGCTCACACCTGATGAAACACCCGCATCATCTGCGTGATCCGATACCCCAGGATGGTTCCGGCCGGAGTCCTGGCTTCCGACTGGCACGGGCGGCCGCTTTCGGAGGCCCAGCCGCCGCTGCCGCCCCGATCCCCGCCCCGCGCACTGCGAACCGGGCGTCCGGGGGTGCTCTGAGGGCGGGGCCTGGGCGCATCAGCCCCGCCCCGCGGCGGCCGTCGCCCTGGAGATACGCACGGCATCCTGGGAATGTTGCCTTTCCTGCGCCTGCACTCGGCCCCCATAGCGCCGCCTGCGGGCAGGAGGAGCAGATTGCTCCGGCAGCGTCCGGCAGCTCTGTGCACCTTTAACAGCATCCGGATCTCCCCTGCTCTCCAGACTGGAATTGCACTCCACAGCTCTGACCCTTCCTCCTTTGGGGGCCAAGACAGATCCAAAATTGATCGGCATATAAGTCGTGGAATTGGACCATGCATAATGTTATTTTTTCTGCCTCAATTTTTGTTGACCCAAATCTTCCCCCCTCTTCACAATGAAATTGTACTACTCAATCCACCTTTAGGCCACTCACCCACGCACTGCGGTGGTTATCACCGTTTCGTCGTTACAGGAAAGGTTTGGGCTGCCTTGGGTTTAGAGCAAGTCCTCCAGCTTCTATGAGGAGCTACGAGGGGAGGTGTAAGGGAGGCAAACTGAGGAAGGTACTCTAACGATTAGAAAAGACTAGTTAGTAATGCTCGTTATGCCGATTTCTCTGGTGCTGTCGGTATCGGTATCGGTAGAAACCAGTGCACGGTTTCGGAGGCACAGCTTCGGAAACTGACGTCCAGCTTTTAGGCAAATAGGGAGAGGGCGGGGAACTTGTATCTGCTTCCTTTCCATTGCTTTCTGCTCAAAGTAATCCTTATGCCAAAGTGGCATATTCTGCCACTACTATATAGTGGTCAGATGATCCAGCTAGCACTCGCCAGCAGGAGTGTCTATAAGTTAAAGAAGTAATGCAGAGGCTATTACTTATTTATTTTGAGAGAGAGCGAGCGAGAGAGAGCGCACCCACACAAGTGGGAGAGTGGCAGAGGGGAGAACGGGGAGAGAATCCCAAGCAGGCTCTACACTGTCAGCTCAGGGCTGGAAGCAGGGCTTGAACCCACCAACTGCGAGATCATGACCTGAGGTGAAGTCGGAAGCTTAACTGACTGAGCCGCCTGGTCCTCATTTAATGCTGACGACCGCCTTTCTCTCTCTAGTTTGAGCATCTGCTAGAGCTCCAGACTCACAAATCTGTTGAGCAACTCCACCTGCCTTTTTGTCTTTGCCTTTGAATAAAGAAAGCTGTAGGAAGGTTTTGAGCAGGAGAATGACATGATCCCACTTTTATTTTTAAAGAGCCAGTCTGCGGTGCCTGGTGTGTCAGTTAAGTGTCCCACTTGAACTCCGGTCATGATCTCACCATCGGGGGGTCTGATCCCCACATGGGGCTCTCTGCTGTCAGTACAGAGCCTGGAGCCTGCTTGGGATTCTGTGTCTCCCTCTCTCTTTGCCCCTCCTCACTCAATGCTATCTTTCTCTGAAAAATAAATAAACATTAGAAAAATATTTTTAAATATTAAAAAAAAACTTCTGATGACAAACTGTCCTTTATTTTGTCAATTATACCTAAAAGTTTCAGGATCTGTAGTTACTTGATTTAATCACTCCAAACTGCCCATATTAAGTTGATGGAAACCCCCCTCTCCCAAACTAGTTCGGTAAAGAGTGAGGTAGTGAATTACATTCAATCTGCAAGATGTTTGCATTTTATCACTAGATAATTTTTTTGTTCTTATAATCATAAAGGCTTTCCATTAATTCTCTGCTTTTCTTCCCTATTTAAAAAAAAAAGAATACCTTTCATTAATCTTTTGGTCTCTTCCAAATGTTAATAATCTCCAGAGGCCTGTGTGATTTTGCTCTCAGTACTTTGCGTTTTTTGCTGTTCTCTTTCCTTATAGTCTTCATATTTTGAAAAAAATTTCCCCCTCTTCTGCAACAAACTAATTGGTTTAGGTAACTGTGCTGGTTTTATTACTTTAAGCACTTGGTATTTCTTATCCACAGAATATGAATTTCCTGTATTTCCAATTAAGTGTGGGAGAAGGATCCCTGCCCTGGCACCTGGGGACCCACAGAGAGTCCCAACCCAGCCACCAACTATGGATGAGACATTTACTATAGCTTTGGTTTCCTCCTCTGTAACATTAGAGATTGGAATAAAAACTCTTCTTGCTCCGTATAATGCTAAAATTTGGAATTTAGAATGATAAATTACTCTATATGTTTATTATATTCCTTATATATATGTATATCTATATAAACTCTAAAAAGAATTGAAAAGAGTACTTGGGTTTAATTGGATCTTACCCTTATTCTTGACTTCCTCCAAGGCACCACTAGTTTTTAACACCATTTTGAACACTCTCTTTTAGCGTCTATCAAATCCTGCAATTGTAACAGGCAACAGGTGAGAACAGAAAATGAGAGGCTCTGGCCTCCAGTCTCCCATGAAACCTCTCCTGGGTTCCTGATCACATCCTGCTGTCAGGCCTCCCACCACAGGCATCCACCTGCAGCAGGGTCATGGCCCCTTCCTGCTTACATTGAGTCTAGCTCTATACATCGTAAGGTTGGCTACTCCATGAACACAACAGACATTACCGTGGCCCTGAGTGACTGTAAACCTGCCTAAACGATAGAATCTTTTAACGTTGTCAATGACCTTTGCTAGTGTCCCTCCACTTGAGGAAAGACAGTACTCTTAAACCATGCGAGAATTTATTCTGACTTAAAGGCCTGTTTTCCCTGTCCCATAAAACCTTAGACCTCCTTTCCCTGGATTCTCATTCTTTTTTAAAGTTTATTACTTATCCTGAGAGAGACAGATACAGCATGAGTCAGGGAGGGGCAGAGAGAGGGAGATCCAGAATCTGAAGCAGGCTCCAGGCTCTGAGCTGTCAGCAGAGGGCCGCATGTGGGGCTCAAAATCATGAACTATGAGATCATGACAGGAGCTGAAGTTGGCTACTTAACCGACTAAGCCACCCAGGTGCCCCTTAGCACCCTCCATTTTATATTTCTTCGACTCAGATTACCGAATTTTGATGAAATTATCAGTTTTTAGGGAGAACTATATACATAACCACCATGGAACATGCTGTGAAGCCTCAGCATTCACATAAACAGACCCGGATTCAGAGAACTCGTTTTATTGCTATCAGTTTTAAAGCAATGAATCAAAACCAAATTCAACATTGTATCAGGGCTGCAACAAAACTCACACATACTTGAACCCCCACTTTGGGATCATACTGTGAAAAAGAGTATAGCGGACATTTAATAGCCACCCCATCTCAACTTTCAGAACAGTACTGGATTTCCTTCTGTCTTAATTCAAGCTGGGATTTCAAAGCTAGCTTAGCATTTGGGGGGGAAATTACCACTTAAGATGGTAGGAAGAGACATCGCTTTTATCAATGGATAGGAAATAGAACTGGTGATATTTTAAATGTTTGCTTATTTTAGAGAGAGAAAGAAAGCCCGCGCACACGAGTGGAAGAGGGACAGAGATAAAGGGCAAGAGAGAATCCCAAGCAGGATCAGGCTGTCAGCACAGATCCAGATGTGGGGCTCGAACCCACCAACCAAGATCACGACCTGAGCCAAAATCTGGAATTGGATGCTCAACTGACTTGGGCCACCCAGGTGCCTTTAACTGGCAGTGTTTTAATCGACAAAATCCTTTGTGGCTTCTCATACTCCTAACTTGGGCTACATTCTTGCTCAAAAAAGGGCCCCTGTTCCTAAAACCTGTCTCCCCGCGGGTTCCGCTGTGGCAGCTGCGGATCCCCAGGCAACGTCGTCTGCTGAAGACTCTGGACGCCCTTACCCGGACTCAACTCCAGTCAGCCTCGATCATTGCAAACAGCTGGCTGAGCCTCTTCTTAACGTCAGGCTCGCTCGGGGCGCGGTAGGCCTTGGCGTGCACTCGGAGGTGTTCGGCCAGTTTCGACTTATAAATGAAGCCCTTGCCACAGTCGCCACAGGCAAATGGCCTCTCGGGCCTGTGTATGCGCTGGTGCCTCAGCATGTGTCCCTTCTCCCGGAAGTTCTTATCACACTCGGGACAGCGGAAGGGCCTCTCCCCTGTGTGCAGGCCTTGGTGGCTGAGCAGCTGCGCCTTCAGGCGGAAACGCTTGTCGCACTTGGGACACTGGAAGGGCTTCTCCCCCGTGTGCGTCCGGACGTGTTCGACGAGCTTGGACTGCTTGGCGAAGCCTTTGCCGCACTCGCAGGAGAAGGGCATCTGGCCGCCGTGCAGCAGCCGGTGGGCCTTCATGTCGGCCTTGACGCGGTAGCTCTTGCCGCACTCGGGGCACTGGAAGGGCCTCTCGCCCGTGTGCAGGCGCTGGTGACTGAGCAGCTGCCCCTTGAGGCGGAAACTCCGGTCGCAGCTGGCGCAGCGGAAGGGCCGCTCGCCGCTGTGCACGCGGAAGTGCTCGGCGAGCTTGGACTGCCGCGTGAAGCCCTTGCCACACTCGGCGCACGAGAAGGGCCGCTCCTTGCTGTGGGTGCGCTGGTGGGCCTTCAGGACGCCCTTGAGGCGGAAGCTCTTGCCGCACTCGGCGCAGCGGAAGGGCCGCTCGCCGCTGTGCACTCTCTGGTGCTCGCGGAGCTTGCAGCGGTGCGCGAAGGCGCGGCCGCACTCGCCGCAGGAGAACGGCCGGTCGCCGCCGTGCCGCAGCCGGTGCGCTCTGAGCATGCTCGGCAGGCGGAAGCTCAGCCCGCACTCCGGGCACCGGAAGGGCTTCTCGTCCGTGTGCAGGCGCTGGTGCCTCAGCAGCTGTCCCCTCTGGCGGAAGCTCCGGCCGCAGTGGGCGCAGCGGAAGGGCCTCTCCCCGCTGTGCACCCGGGCGTGTTCCGCGAGCTTGCACCGCTTGGCGAAGCCCTTGCCGCACTTGGCGCAGGAGAAGGGCCTGCCGCCGCCGCCGTGCGCGCGCTGGTGGAGCTCCAGCAGGCCGCTCAGGCGGAAGCTCTCGCCGCACTCCGAGCAGCGGAAGGGCTGCTCTCCCGCGTGCACCCGGACGTGGCTCGCGAGCTCGGGCCCCGAGGCGAAGCGCTCCCCACACTCGGGGCAGGAGAAGGGCCTCTCCCCGGCAGGGCAGTGCTGGACAGCAGCCACGGCCCCCGGCCACGGCCCCGGCTTCCCTCCTGAGCCCACGCTGCCCCGCCCTGCGAAGAAGCCGTCGCCTTCTCCACAGGAGCCCAGCCTCCCCGTGCTGGGCTGGCCCTGGTGAGCCGGCAGGCTGTCCTTCGGAAGAGCGTGCTGGTCACATCCGGGGCACTGGGAAGGCCTCTCCCCTCTGTGCCGGAGGCAGTGGCCGAGAAGGGTCGGCCTGTGCGGGCCGCACAGTTTACATTCAGGGCCCTGCAGGGCGCTCGTCCCCGCGTGTACAGCCAGATGCCTGAGCAAATACCGCTTCCGGTGGAAGCTCCGCCCACAGTCGTGACACCCGAAGCGCCTCTGGCCCTGAGCGATGCTCCGCTGTTGCTGTGGATCAGCCTGTTTGCTTAATTTCTTCCAGGGCCTACACGGCTGGTCCCTCAAGTGGCTCCTCTGGTGCTTCTCTAAGTGGTTCTTCTTCCAAAAGCTTTCCTCACAGACAGCGCGAGGGTGTTGGGTGCCCTCCCAAGAGGGGACCTCCTGGAAGGCAGGGGGACCCAGAGTTCTGGGACTTGGGGTGCCTTCTCTCTGGGTAGGTTCCCTGCAGCTGCGGACTACCGGAATTGGAGCCTGGGTGTCATGTCCGTGTGGGTTCATGAGGGCGATGCTCCCAGCAGGCCTGAGGGAAGCACCAGCCCTTTCTCCTAGTGACGGTTCAGAGGAGCACTGGCCGTGTAGGGCATCTCCTTGGAACCGGCATTTAGCTTCTGAATTCACAGCTTGCTGGCTTCCTGAAATGGAGAACAAAAATTCAGTCAGTATTCCTGTTTGTGTCATGACTAAAGGTTTATGTCAACAGGAAGGGAGCAGTAACAGTGACTCGAGTGGCCTAGGAACCCAGCTACCAAGGAGCTCCACAACCTAGGACATTTCATTGTGGTTCCATTTAGTGATTAGGAGTTTGCTGAGAGTCTGCTGAAACTAAACCAAAACCAAAACAAAACAAAACTATCTTAAAAGAGGAAAATACAGGAGCGCTTGGCTGGCTCAGTCCAAAGAGCATGCCACTCTTGATCTCAAGGTCGTCAGTTTGAGCCCCACGTTGGGTATAGAGATTACATAAATAAATAAAACTTTAAAAAAAAAAAAGGAAACTATAGGTCTTAATAGGGCCTAAGCTCTGGAATCAGACTGGGTTTAAATCCCACCTCTCTGCTGTATAGCCTCTGTCAAGTTAATCTCTCTTGGCTTTGGTTCCTTCTCTCCTAGAAACAGGGAAACAACAGGACATATGATTGTCATGATTATTAAGTGAGTTCCTGCATTTGTTGAGCATGTGCCTGGCATACTGCACACCCCACAAGTGCTCACCACCATCATGACTACAGGACCATCCATCTTGTGCCGTTTGGATGTGGAGGGGTTTCTGTGGTCAAGATGATGACAGTATCACTAATAGACCCTAACACCATGGTCCCATGTGACCCAGGGGCTGTCCCTCAGGCTAGGCACCAGGGCCTGGGCTCTATTCCCCCCTCCTCACCCCTATTCCCACCAACCTTTTAAAAATGTTTCTTGGAAGAATTGATAACAGATGGTAAAAAGTGAAAGAATCTGTAAAGCAAAACTCCTTTACTGTCCAGAAAGCAGCAGCAACAAACTAAGCAAACTGAACACATTTCTTGGAATGATGCTCCCATTGGTTTTCTCATCCCATACTTTAATGCTGACTTTTAAGAATCGAAAAATTTCAGACTCTCCTACCATAATAATAAACAACAGAGGAGAGCTAAATTTTAGGTGTTCAAGTAGAGACAACAGTTCCCAGACAGGAAAGAAGCAAATCTGATCACTAGGATTTAGATAACCAGTCTCGGATTCCCACTACCACCCTGCCCCAAACCGCCCTGCCTACTAACTATAGTGCCCATTTACTGAGCTCTTCCTGTGTGCCCGGTATTTTAACACTTTAAATATGTTGACCTATTTAAACCTGTAATGTAGGTCCTTTTATCATTTTCATTTCATAGGCCAGGAAATTGCAATATCGGGAGGTTGAATAACTTACCCAAGCAGACCCGGAAAAGGCAAGATCCAGACTCAGAGTCCAGGACCCACACTCCTAACCACTGTGCTTTACTGCCTTTCTCTAGAATATGCCAGACATCAAGCCTCAGGCTAGCCAGACAGGAAGACAAGATCAGAGAACGGGAACGAAGTCACCTGAATGTGGTGTCTTAAGGAAAAGGCTCTAATTTCTCAATACTCACGCCAAAACAGATGTCCCTCAACAACCGGATCAAAATGCAGATCAGTTGAAGAGCAAATTATGTTTCCTGATTTCTGTGATTCTCCCCAGTTCTTGAAGAAATCTCTCCCCTGTTCAATCCATGATATTAGTTCTGGTTTGGAAAGTCCATCATCTGTGCAAAGAAGTCAGACAGGGTAGTTTGGTTTCTTTGAGCACTAAATTTAAAGCACACTGAGTTGGTTTTAAATGTTTAAAATATATTTCTGCGAAAATGTAGGAGAAGAGATGTCAAAAATAGATTATAGGTTTACACAAAGAGGAGTAAAACTGCCCACACATCCTAAAAGTTCTTCCTAATCTGTCTGGACCTGCTAAATCAGTTGTACTGTTTAAATCCTGTCTCGGTCCCCATATGTCTAGCAATATGTATTTAGTCATGGGTTTCATAAAAATCACTAGTAGGATGCTTTGAGAATGGTGGAACAGCCCTGGAGACACCATGGGAAGAGTAGGAGATGGAAAAATAAGAACTGGAATGCCTGTCCTAGGAAATTTCAAAGTAGGTAGCTCCAGCTAAAATACTGTCAGAAGTTCTCTGGTGACAGTGCTAATCACGACCCTAAACATGGGTAGAGTTCTGTTAGAATAAAAAGGGTTGTAAGCAGTGAATAAGCAGATGAAAATACTTATAAGATTCTCTACTATATGACTCCCATTTCCCAAAAGAAATATTTACTTTATTTATTTTCAAGTAAAACTTTCTTTCCATAAAATATATTTGACAGAACCTAAAGTATGCTTGATAGATGCCTAAAGGGAGATCAGTTATGGTTCCAATCAGAGAAAGAGGGTAAGCTGGGTAATGTCTGCCCCAAGAATAAAATGTTAGAGTGGTATAATACATGTGGAGACAGACCGCTCTGTTCTAGATTCCTCCTTGCCCTCTGAAATCTGACTTCAATCCCAAAAGAATCCTAAGATTGCCCTCATGAGAAAAGGAATCATTATCTTTTGTTTAAATCAATACACCTATTCTCAATCTTCATCTGCTGAAATCCCAGCATCCTTTAAAATAAAAGTATTTTTCCAAAAGTAAAGACTGGGTGACTCAGTCAGTTAAGTGTCCAACTTTGGCTCAGGTAATGATCTCACAGTCTTGTGAGTTCAAGCTCCACACTGGGCTTTGCGCTGACAGTGCAGAGCCTGCTTGGTATTGTCTCTCCCTCTCTCTCTCTGCCTCTCCCCAGCTTGGGCTCTCTCTCTCAAAATGAATAAATAAACTTTAATAGAATTAAAAAATAAATAAAATAAAATGAATTGAAGAAAACAACTTATTGTTTCAATTATTGAACAATTTATTGTTCAATTTTCAAAAAAATAAACTATTTATTATTAAAAAATAAATAAAATAAAATAAATTGAAGAAAACAATTCAATTTATAATAACACCAAAAAGAATAAAACACTGAGGAATAAATTTAATAAAAGAAATCCAAGACTTATATAATAAAAACTATAAAATATTGTTGAAAGAATTTTTGTCACAAATAAATGGAAAGACATCCCATGTTCATGAATAGGAACCATTAATATTGTTAAAATGACAATATTCCCTAAATCCCATCTGCTTTTTTTCTTTTAGAAATTGACAAATTGATCCTAAAAGTAATGGTAATAAAAAAGACAAACATATATAGATCAATGAAACAGTATTGAGAATCCACAAATAAACCTCTACATTTATGGCAAACTGATTTTCCAAAAGAGTGCCAAGAGAATTCAATGGGGGAAAGACTTTTTAACAAATGGTATGGGGCAACTGGATATCCATATGAAAAGAAGTTGGATCCCTACTTCACGTCATATACAAAAATTAATTCAAAAGGGATCAAAGACCTAAATGTAAGCAATGAAACTATAAACCTCTTAGAAGAAAACAAAGAAGTGAATCTTTGTGACTTTGGATCAGACAATGGTTTCTTAAGTATGACACCAAAAGCTCAAACAACACAAGAAAAAGAAGCTGGACTTCATGAAAATTGCAAACTTTTGTGCTTCAAAGGATATCATCAAGAAAGTGAACAGGGGCACCTGGGTTGCTCATTCAGTTGAGCATCCAACTTTGGGTTCAGGTCATGATCTCAAGGTTCCTGAGAAGAGAGGTCAAAAAACAGCTCGGAGTCTGCTTGGGATCCTCTGTCCTTCCCCTCTCTCTGCCCCTCCCCGACTCATGTACACGCACTTGCTCGCTCTCTCAAAAAATTTAAAAAATTAGGGGCGCCTGGGTGGCTCAGTCGGGTAAGTGTCTGACTTCAGCTCAGGGCATGATCTCACAGTTCGTGGGTTCGAGCCCCATGTTGGGCGCTGTGCTGACTGCCAGCTCAGAGCCTGGAGCCTGTTTCAGATTCTGTGTCTCCGTCTCTCTCTGACCCTGCTCATGCTGTCTCTCTCTCTCTCACTCAGGAACAAATAATTTAAAAATTTTTTTAAATTTTTTAAATAAAAAAAAAGTGAAGAGAAAACTCATAGAATGTGAGAAAATTATCTGTGAATCATATATCTGATAAGGGTCTAGTATCCAGAACAAATAGAGAACTCTTTTTTTTTCTTAATAGCTCAACGTGGGGCCCAACACAGGGCTTGAACTCACAACCCTGAGATCAAGACCTGAGATGAGATCAATAGTCAGATGTTTAACTGACTGAGCCACCCAGGCACCCTACAAATAGAGAACTCTTAAAACTCAATAATAAAACCACAAATAAACCAGTTTAAAAATAGGCAAAGTAGGGGCGCCTGGGTGGCTTAGTCGGTTAAGCGTCCGACTTTCGCTTAGGTCATGATCTCGCGCTTCGTGGGTTCGAGCCCCGCGTCGGGCTCTGTGCTGACTGCCGGCTCAGAGCCTGGAGCCTGTTTCTGAGTCTATGTCTCCCTCTCTCTCTGACCCTCCCCTGCTCACGCTGTCTCTCTCTCTCTCTCTCCTAGAAATAAATAAAAATATTTAAAAAAAAATTATGGAAAGAGTCCAGAGGTTTATCCATTGACTGATGAATGGATAAAGAAGATGGAATATTATTCAGCCATAAGAAATAATGAAATCTTGCCATTTGCAGTGATGTGGATGGAGCTAAGAGTATTATGATAAGTGAAACAAGNTCGGTTAAGCGTCCGACTTTCGCTTAGGTCATGATCTCGCGCTTCGTGGGTTCGAGCCCCGCGTCGGGCTCTGTGCTGACTGCCAGCTCAGAGCCTGGAGCCTGTTTCAGTCTGTGACTCCCTCTCTCTCTGACCCTCCCCTGATCACGCTGTCTCTCTCTCTCTCTCTCCTGGAAATAAATAAAACATTAAAAAAAAAAATAGGCAAAGTATTTGAACAGATATTTCTCCTAAGAAGATATACAAATGAAAAGACGTTTACCATGATTAGCTGTTGAGGAAATTCAAATCAAAACCACAATGATATACCACTTCGCATCCATTTAATCCTGATGTTTGGAACATTCTTTCTGGGTGGAACAGGGTGGATGATAAAAAAATTATCTTTCTTTCTCTATAGATTCAATTACTTTAATTCGTTCTTCAGTAAAAATAAAAATATGTAATATCTTAGAATATATGTTTTAGAAACAACACTCTATATGTAAAGCTTAGAAAACTTAATTATAGTAAAGGAATAGAATAGAAAGTATTAGAAACCTTACGATAGAAAGGAAATGGTATGGCTGTTGAGAGCTGGCAGGAGAGGTGACACAAAGTACAGGAGAACTAATCACCGTATCTTCATACACTGAAGGAATCAAGAAATCTAATATGAAGTTGATGGGACATGGTCTAGAAGTTTATTATTTAAATTATAAAGTTAGCCAATAAAAGCATGGAAAAAAACCCTCAAAATTTGGAGAAAAGGGAAAAAAGGAGATAGAAGAAAGATCATATAAGTGAGTGAATGCCTCATTTTTCACAGTAATGAGTTAATGCTGTCTAAATGCAATAAATCAAGAAATCGAGATGTAAGCATGATAGTTAGATTGGAGGAAACCAGAGTAAGAACTAGAACAGAAAAAGTTAGATGTGGTTGCCTTGGGGAATGAACTGAGTGCAGGAGTGTGGATGAAGCAGAGACTTTATCATTTAACTGACACTTCTCTGAACAGACTGATTTTTAAAAACCACATTTGATAAATTTAAAAATACATATAAAGACCAAGTAAGGAAGAAGACTAAAAAGAACACCCATGGAGCGCCTGGGTGGCTTAGTAGGTTAAGTGTCTGACTTCGGCTCAGGTCATGATCTCACCGTTCGTGAGATCAAGCCCCATGTTGGGATCTGTGCTGACAGCTCAGAGCCTGGAGCCTGCTTCTGATTCTGTGTCTCCCTCTCTCTGCCCCTCCCCTGCTCACACTCTGTCTCTGTCTCTCAAAAATGAATAAATGTTAGGGGCGCCTGGGTGGCTCAGTTGGTTGAGCGTCCGACTTGGGCTCAGGTCATGATCTCGCGGTCAGTGGGTTTGAGCCCCATGTAGGGCTCTATGCTGACAGCTCAGAGCCTGGAGCCTGTTTCGGATTCTGTGTCTCCCTCTCTCTCTGACCCTCCCTGGCTCATGCTCTGTCACAAAATAAATAAATGTTAAAAAAAAAAAAAAAAAAGAAAACATGTTAAAAGAAAAAAAAATTAAAAAAAAAAAAACAACTTAAAAAGAACACTTATTACCATAACCAGGCAGAGACAGCCCCTGTTAAACATCTCAGGATAGAGCCTTACAAAATCTCACTGCAGGGAAATATTGTAGCTTTTCTGAGTTATACAGACTCCACTGTAATAGATGACAAGTAGAAACACTCTAGGGTAAAGATAATATGGGTATGTTATGGATATGAGCTAGGAGTGCTCCTGTATGGATATCCTGGCACTCTGTGAGTGTGACTAAAAGTCTTGATTCCTGATGTATTTGGTCACCTCTGACCACCACACATCAAACAGTCTTAAATAGTCTCATGTGACAGTATCTACCCAGGAATAAGGATGAACAGTGCCTGCAGAAGTGTTAACACAGGACTCTGGGTTAAAAAAATATATATATATACTTTTCTGAGTTAATTTCTGAGAAATCTGGACACCTAAAAAACAGAATTAAGTGGCCAAGACCTCTTTCAGGCCCAGTTCGATGACCCACCCACAAAATCAAGCACTTCTCACCTAGAGAAACAAGAATCTCATAATTGGTTCTCATTACATGCTTGTAAAGCTCCTTCTGCCACGCCTCCAGACTCTTCCATTCTTGCTCAGAGAAATAAATGGCAACATCTTCAAAAGTCAGAGGTAACTGAAATTACAGACATAATAGTCATTATTGCTTCAAAATGATTTTAGCTCCTTCTCATCAATTATTTTCTTTCTTGTTCAAGTACAAAGCTACCCTCAACATAGGGCTTGAACTCAGAACCCTGAGATCGAGAATCACCTGCTACCCACTGGGCAACCAGGCACCCCTGCTTTTCATCAATATAAAAGATTTTTGTAGAGGCACCTAGGTGGCTCAGTCGGTTAAGCATCCGACTTCGGCTCAGGTCATGATCTCACAATCCATGGGTTTGAGCCCCGCATTGGGCTCTGTGCTGACAGCACAGAGCCTGGAGACTGTTTCAGATTCTGTGTCTCACTCTCTCTCTGCTCCCCTGCTTGCTATCTGTCTCTCAAAATAAAATAAAGACATAAAACTTTTTTTGTAGTGGACCCTGTTTTTGTGTATTCAGCAGCTTCCTCGAGAACTGCTCCTCCCCCTATTCCAACCACGTGGTTTTGTTAACTGCTACACCTTCCATGGTTACTTATGCCTGCTCAAGCTGTATGTGCATATGTATAGAATATTTTTCTTCTTTTAAAAATGAAAGTGGGAATAAACCACTGTGTAACTTTATTCACTTAATATGTCACAGGTATCTTTCCAGGTCAATAGTGTACAGGCAAAACCAGATTTTTGCAAATTGCATTATATTCCATTGCATGGCTACATATACCCCATGGGTGGGACATATAGTTTCCATTTCATTTATAAATGACAAACAATGCTCTGATATGCTTCCTGATATACTAAGGCTTTTATCTCTGTAAGATAAAGCATAAAAAGGGGAACTACTAAATCAGAAGGTATAAACATGTTCAGTTCAATAAATACCACTAGATTGCCTTCCAAAAAGAATCCAGCACTTTTGCCCTTTTGCTAATGAGACTTACTTTTTGCCCCTTTGCCAGCACAGGATGTTTTTAAACTTTAAAAAAATTTTTTTTGCCCATGTAATGAGCAAAAAATTATATTTCATTGCTGTAATTTACATTCATTTGTGAGGCTTAACATTCTTTTCATACTTGTCGGGTGTGGGGGCATTCCAGTATCTTTGTACGTCTGTTCACATCCTTTGCTCAACATTCTCATGGACTCGTATAATTTGAATGGACTTCTTTATATTAGGGTTAATCATCCTTTTATTGACTAGCAAACATTTTCTCCCCCAGTCGTTTGTATGGATTTGATCTTCTGCCAAATAGAGCATTTTGAGCCTTTTATTTGATCTGTCAGTCTTTTCCATAGTTTCCAGCTTTTTTAAATTAAAAAAAATTGTTTTTTAATATTTGTTTTTGAGAGAGACAGAATGTGAGACTGAGCCACCCTGGTGCCCCCATGGTTTCCAGCTTTTTAAGTGTCCTCCATATCAAAAAGTTATACAAATATTCTACTAATATTTTTTGTCCTTAGATTTGCAATTTAATTCTATAGATGAGGGGTACCTGGGTGGCTCAGTCCATTGAGGTTCTGGCTGTTGATTTTGGCTCAGGTCATGATCTCACAGTTCATGAGATGGAGCCCTGCATCGAGCTCAGTGCTGACAGTGGGAAGCCTGCTTGGGATTCTCTTTCTGTGCCCCTCTCCTGCTCGCACAGTTTCTCTCAAAATAAATAAGTAAATACTAAAAAAATAAATAAATCAGCATGGAGGGCACTTGTGGGGATGAGCACTGGGTGTTATATGGAAACCAACTTGACAATAAAGTACTTAAAAAAAAAAAATAAAAATAAATAAACCAAAGAAAATTCTACAGATGAGATTGGCATCTTTGATACATACGGAGAGCCAATCACACACCTTTAAATATGCCATCCTTTCTCCTTAGATTGGACTGCCAACTAATCTTTGCATATATTGGATTTTCATAAATATGTGAATCTATATATTCTCTTATACTTTCTTTACCTATCTGGTTAAGGTACCTATGCAATACTGTAATCCTGGGATGACAAGTCTCACCCTCACTTCACATTCGTTTCCAAGTTACTGCTGTAAATTCCTGGATATTTGTTCTTCCTCATAAACTCCAAAACTGTTTCATCCAACAACAAAAAGTGCATTGGGATTCAGTTCGGACTCCATTCACCGTACATATGGATTTAGGAAGGACTGACCTCACCTAGGAACATGTTCTACCTTCCATTTATTTGGTCCCGCCTGCTAACCTTAATGACTTAATTCTCTTCTTCATAAATGTTCGGAGTCCTTTTTATTAACTTTATTTCTGGTATTCTGTGGTCTTTCCAACAACTGGAAGTAGGATCACCCCTTTTGGGGTGCCATTTGAAATTATTATTAATAGTTTAAAAGAAGTTACTGGGGCGCCTGGGTGGCTTAGTCGGTTAAGCGTCCGACTTTCGCTTGAGTCATGATCTCGCGGTTCGTGGGTTCGAGCCCCGCATCGGGCTTTGTGCTGACTGCCAGCTCAGAGCCTGGAGCCTGTTTCAGAGTCTGTGACTCCCTCTCTGACCCTCCCCTGCTCACACTGTCTCTCTCTCTCTCCTAGAAATTAAAACATTAAAAAAAATTTTTTTTAAAAAGAAAAAAATAAAAAGTTACTGAGTTTTGTAAACTTAGTCTGTATCCAATTACTGTAACATATTGTTTGTCAATCCTATTAAGCTTATGGTGGGATACAGTAAAAATTTTCAAAGATAATTTCTCCCTCTTCCACACTGCTTTATTCTTATATTATTATACTTTTTCAGGAGAACCTCTTTTGTGGCTTTAGGGTTTAATATCTTGAAAACTTTTCCTATTCTATGATTATAAAATATTCTTAAATTCTTCATAACATTCTTATAACTTTCATTAGACTTAGACCTTTTTTTCCATATGGAACCTACTTATGTGTAACATAACAGGGAGGAATATAATTCTTTTTCCAAGTGGATATTCAGTTAGCACAAAACTTATTGAACAGTCTATTCTTTTTTTTTTTTTTTTAATGTTTTATTTGTTTCTAGGAGAGAGAGAGACAGCGTGAGCAGGGGAGGGTCAGAGAGAGAGGGAGTCACAGACTGAAACAGGCTCCAGGCTCTGAGCTGGAAGTCAGCACAGAGCCCAACGCGGGGCTCGAACCCACGAAGCGCGAGATCATGACCTAAGCGAAAGTCGGACGCTTAACCGACTAAGCCACCCAGGCGCCCCTTGAACAGTCTATTCTTTCACCATTGATTTGGGATTATTCTTCATTAATGAAGCTTTCATTTATACTTGAATCCATTTTTGCTCCAATATTGCAGTTTAATTCTTACAGTTTTATTAGATATTTTGCCTTTTAAGTGGTCATGGCCATCAACAACCGCACTCCATCATTTCACACAGGAAAATGTCTTGACTTTTCTTGTCTGTTTTCTCTTCTACATAAAAAGGAAAGGCATTTTGTCAAATTTATACAAATTCTAATGGGATTCTGATAGGAATATGCTTGATATATTAATTTGGGAAGAACATTTCTCTCATCTTCCTAGACATTTTTATGTGCTTTAGTAAAATTAGTTTTCTTCATACAGATTTTACATTATTCTGAATAGGCTCATTCCTAGGGACTGTAGAGTTTTTGTTGCTACCATGTTTGGGGTTTTTTTCCCACTAAATTTTCTAATTATGAAAAATTGGGAAGCTAATTTTTGTGTTTATTCTAGAAATGAATTCCCCTGTTGCCTAACACTTTAGTTGATTACCTTTTAGTATCTATACAGAGAAAGAGATCTGCAAATAAACATTTCTTTTGACTATTTAAGCCTATAATTTCTTCTTCTTCTTATTGTATTGGCTGGAATGATGTTGAATACTAGTGATGATAGCATGCATCTAAGGTTTATAACAAGAAGCATGTAAATTATATATTTGTTAAAATACTCTACATTAAATGCAAATTCTGTTTCCTTTTCTCTTTTTAAAGTTACATTTAAGACTTTTTTTAATGTTTTATTTATTTCTGAGAGAGAGAGAGAGAGGCAGGGTAAGCAGGGGAGGGTCAGAGAGAGAAACACAGAATCTGAAACAGGCTCCAAGCTCTGAGCTAACTGTCAGCACAGAGTCTGATGCAGGGCTCGAACCCACGAACCGTGAGATCATGACCTGAGCTGAAGTTGGACGCTTAACCGACTGAACCACCCAGGCGCCCCAAGACTTTTATTCTTTTCAGGTAATTTCTACACCCAATGTGGGGCTTGAGCTCACAACCCTGAGATCAAGAGTCACATGTCCCAATGACTGAGCCAGCCAGGAGCCCCTATTGCTTTCTTTTTTAAGTTTTTAAAAAATTTATTTGAGAGAGACAGAGAGTACAAGCAAGGAAGTGGCAGAGAGAGACGAAGAGAGAATCCCAAGCAGGTTCCCCATTGTCAGCACAGAGCCTGATGTGGGGCTGGAACTCAAGAAACTAAGAGATCATGACCAGAGCTGAAATTGAGAGTCAGAGGTTCAACCAACTGGGCCACCCAAGAGGCCTCTGTTGTTTCCTTTATTTCAGTTTTAACTCCCGATGTTCTGCCATGTGTTTATTTCCTATGGGTATTAAAGTACAGCTTGTTTCAGCTTTTATTTTTACTCATCTTTTTGTCATACTGAATATGAAACTTAGATTTACATTTTTAAAAATCTAATAATTCTTTTACGCTTAAATCAGAAATTCATTAAGTTTCATTTCTGCTATGTTTTTAAGATGTGGATTTGTCCTAACATAATTGATAAAGAAATAATAAAATTGGGTACCTAGGTGGCTCAGTCCATTGAGCATTCGACTTCAGCTCAGGTCATGATCTTATGGACCATGAGTTCAAGCCCTGATTCAGACTGTACTGACAGCTCAGAGCCTGAAGCCTGCTTCGGATTCTGTGTCTCTGTCTGTCTGCCCCTCCCCTGCTCATGTTCTCTCTCTCAAAAACAAACAAACATTAAAAAATAATAATAATAATAATTTGTCACAAAATTTTATACTTGCTTATATGCAATTTTGTCAGCGAAAAACTCTCGGTCAGTTCTACATCAGGACAATCTGACCCCACAAAGGACGTCTGGCGATGTCTGGAGACATTTTTATTAGGATTGGGCAGGGATTGCTACTTGCATCTAGTGGATACTGATAAACATCCTACAGTGAGCAAGATCGCCCCCCACAACACAAATTATCCAGTTACAGAATGTCAGCAGCGGCAAGGGTAACTGTGCCAGGTTGCCAAAGAGAGATGAGAAGGAATATACAAAACACGCCCACGCACATACCCTTCAAGAATCCACCAGCTTCCTCAGATTACCCTGTTTTATGAGCCGGACCCATCCAAACCTGGTGTTAAAACTTTCCCTCTGGGGGCGCCTGGGTGGCTTAGTTGGTTGGGCGTCCGACTTTCGCTTAGGTCATGATCTCGCGGTTCGTGGGTTTGAGCCCCGCGTCGGGCTCTGTGCTGACTGCCAGCTCAGAGCCTGGAGCCTGTTTCAGTCTGTGACTCCCTCTCTCTCTCTGACCCTCCCCTGCTCATGCTGTCTCTCTCTCGCTCTCCTAGAGAAATAAATTTAAAAAAAAACAAACAAAAAACTTTCCCTCTGATTTTGGATAATGGTCCCTCTACCTCACAGTCCCTTCTTCGACCCACTTCCATAAGCAAATTTCAGGCAGTTTTTAAGAGTTTGTTTATTTTTTTATAATGTAACATGCTTAAGGATGTGTTTTTATTAGGTTCCTAGCTTTTCTTTTTAACATGTCTCTGACAAACTTTTTAGGTGTTTTGTGTCTAAACACCATTCCTCCGGTAAGCTGTGGTTTTTATTACATGATGTTGCATTCCACTGTGATTTTTAGAAATGCATGTGATGTATTATAGAAGAAATGAATGCATGTTTTTGCTTAAAATATACTTATTCTCCTCTTCTGATTAAATTCCTTACTTTATTTTTTTTTAATGTTTTATTTATTTCTGAGAGAGAGAGACAGAGTGTGAGCAGGGGAGGGTCAGAGAGAGAGGGAGACACAGAATCTGAAGCAGGCTCCAGGCTCCAAACTGTTAGCACAGAGCCCGACGCAGGGCTCGAACTCACAAACTGCGAGATTATGACGTGAGCTGAAGTCGGATGCTTAACCAACTAAGCCACCCAGGAGCCCCTAAATTCCTTACTTTAAAAATGTTTTCAAGAAATGCTTAGGGGCGCCTGGGTGGCTTAGTCGGTTAAGCGTCCGACTTTCGCTTATGTCATGATCTCGCGGTTCGTGGGTTCGGGCCCCGCGTCAAGATCTGTGCTGACTGCCAGTTCAGAGCCTGGAGCCTGTTTCAGTCTGTGACTCCCTCTCTCTCTGACCCTCCCCTGCTCACGTTGTCTCTCTTTCTCTCCTAGAAATAAAAAAAAAAAAAAAAAATGCTTAAAAAGCCTTCAGTATTCCTTTAATTTTCAGAAGTTTAAGATTCAGAAAATTAGAACATTATAACAAGTATCCTGATTGTTATCAGTATACTATTGATTTAACAACTTAACATTTTTCTTCAGATTTCCTTTGAATGAAATAAAGTATGACAGATGAAACTCAAGTCTTTAGTTCTTCTTAAATATTTTTAAAAATCTTTTTAAGGGGCGCCTGGATGGCTCAGTCAGTTGAGCGTCCGACTTCGGCTTAGGTCATGATCTCGCGGTTCGTGGGTTTGAGCCCCGCGTCGGGCTCTGTGCTAACAGCCAGCTCAGAGCCTGGAGCCTGCTTCAGATTCTGTGTCTCCCTCTCTCTCTGCCCCTTCCCTGCTCACTCTGTCTCTCTCTCTCTCTCAGAAATAAATAAAACATTAAAAAAAATCTTTTTAAAATTTATTTTTTAAAGTGTAATTATTTTGAGAGAGAAAGAGAGAGGGAGAGACACACACACACCCTGGATGAGCAGGGGAGGGGTAGAGAGAGAATCCCAAGCTAATAATCCCAAATTATTAGTCCCAATGCGGGGCTCGGTCTTCCAAAAATGAAATCGTGACCTGAGCTGAAATCAAGTCAGATGCTTAACCAACTGAGCCACCCAGGTGCCCTATCATTTTTTAAAAATATGAATTTATTTTAATGTTTTTATTTATTTCTGAGAGAGAGAGACAGAGAGAGAGAGCATGAGTAGGGGAGGGTCAGAGAGAGAGGGAGACACAGAATCCGAAGCAGGCTCCAGGCTCTGAGCTGGCAGTCAAGCACAGAGCCCGACGCTGGGCTCGAACCCACAAACTACGAGATCATGACCTGAGCCGAAGTCAGATGTTTAACTGACTGAGCCACCCTGGTGCCCCAAATTTATTTTGAAAGAGAGAATGGCCATGGGGAAGGGGCAGAAAGAAAATCCCAAGAAGGCTCTACGCTGTTAGCACAGAGCCCAACTTGCGGCTCAATCTCACAAACTGTGAGATCATGACCACAGTCAAAATCAAGCGCTGGGAGCTCAACAGATTGAGCCACCGAAATGCCCCTTCAATATCTTATACTCAGTCCTCTTCTCTCTTCCAAGAAGTAAACATTATGTGTATGTAACTTTTCAATTAGTGTTTTTAATTTTTAAATACACATACATATCTATAAATATTACTTTGTCTTTTATGCACAAATGCTTTAGTATGCTGCAGCTTGGGTTTTTCATTCAACATTTTGAGATCTGTCCATGTTGATATATACAGAACTGATTTAACTTTGTGTCATGTTCCATTGTCTGAATATGTCACAATTTTTAATCCATTCTTTTATCCATTGACCATTTGTTTTCACTTCTGTGAACTGACCGTTCAGACCCTTTACCTAGATTTTTTACTGGGTCACTTGTCCTTTCATTTCTAGGATTTCTTTTCTTTTTTTAAAGTTTATTTATTTTCAGAGAGAGAGAGAGAGAGCGCGCGCGCACAAGCAGGGGAGGGACAGAGAGAGGGAGAGGGAAAAATCCCAAAGAGGCTCCAAGTCAACAGCGCAGAGCAGGACGCAAGGCTTGAGCTCACAGAGATCATGACTGGAGCCAAAACCTAGAGTCAGATGCTCAACTGACTGAGGCCCCCAGGTGCTCCTCATTTCTAGAATTTCTTTATATAACTTGTATATTGACTAATTGTTGACTAAATTAGGTTACAAATACTTTCTCCTTGTGTATGTTTTATCGTTTATTTTTTCTATTTTTTGAAGTTTATTTATTTATTTTGAGGGGGAGAGAGAATGAGCATGGGAGGGGTAGAGAGAGAAGGGGACAGAGGATCCAAAGAAGGTTCTGTGTTGCCAGTAGAGAGCCCTACGCCCTAGAGGGCTCAAATTCACAAACCAAGAGATCATGACCTGAGCTGAAGTCAGATGCTCAACCGACTGAGCCACCCAGGTGCCTCATGTCTTATCTTTTAACTTTAGATCAATTTTTTCCTTGAACCCTGCGTCACGCTCTGTGCTGTTGACGTGGAGCCTCTGTGGGATTTTCCCTCTCCCTCTCTGTCCCTCGCCTGCTTGTGCGCTCTCTCTCGCTCTTCCTCTCTCAAAATACATAAACTTAAACAAAAGAAAAGAAATCCTAGAAATGAAAAGGACAAGTGACCCAGTAAAAAATCTAGGTAAAGGATCTGAACGGTCAGTTCACAGAAGTGAAAGCAAATAGTCAATGGATAAAAGAACGGATTAAAAATTGTGACATATTCAGACAATGGAACATGACACAAAGTTAAAATAAATCAGTTCTGTATATATCAACATGGACAGATCTCAAATTTTCTGTGTTTTAAGAAAATTTTCTACATCTAGGTTACAAAGATATTCTAAATTTTCTTCCAAAAGGCTTAAGTTTTACTTTTCATGTTTATATTTTAAATTTTACCTGGAATGTAATTTTTTTTATTTTCTTTTTAAAAAATTTCAATGTTTATTTCTGAGAGACAGAGAGAAACAGAAAATGAGTGGGGGAAGGGCAGAGAGAGGGAGACACAGAATCTGAAGCAGGCTCCAGGCTCTGAGCTGTCAGCACAGAGCCCCACGTACGGCTTGAACCCACGGACTGTGAGATCATGCCCCGAGTCGAAGTCGGACGCTTAACCGACTGAGCCACCCAGGCGCCTGATCCCTGACATTTCTTGACTTAAAAGCTGCATGACTCCAATCTCTGTCTCCGCTGTAACGGAGCGTTCTCCGCGTGTGTGTCTGGGTCTCCGTGCCTCTTCCTACAAAGATATCACATGGGATTAAGAACCTACCCTACTGTAGTACCATCTCCTCTTAACCAATTACATCTGCAACCACCTTACTTCTAAATAAGGTCACAATGTGAAGATCCAGAAAGGACATGAATCTTCGGGAGACGCTGTTCAACTCAACAGTCTGCCTCTGGGTTCTCTTTTGGTCCCCACTGCTCTGTGTGTCTACCTCTGCACAAAATAACACTGTTAATTCTATGGGCTTATAATAAGTTTTATTATCTGCTAGAGCAATTCCCCTTTCCTCGTTCTTTTTTCAGAATGATATTTTTGATCTTTATTTTTCCAAGTGAAATTGAAAATCTGCTTATCTAAATTCACAAAAATCTTACTGCCATTCTGCTAAAACTGCAGTATATTTACATATTAACTTGGAAGAAAGGTGCCATCTTTTACTGTATTTAGTCTTTCCATCTATGGGCCTGGCTAGCTCCTATTTATTTAGATTTCTCCATGAAAGTGTTGCATGTCTTTGGAATACTTAATCCAAGGAATTATGTTTTCTAAGCCGAGGCTATTAATGCTATTTTGAAATAACCTCACGAATTCATTTAGTAATCAGAAAAAATGCTCACTATGAAAGTTTGTAAGGTATTAAAAAACATAATAAATGGCCATTCCTTCTAAACCTCAATTACAAAAAATATTAGTCAAAAACTGCTAAGTATTACTGTAACATTGTATTCTGCTTAGATTTTTATATCCTATTCTATTCCTCTGACCCGTCTTCCTTCTTACACTCAACATAAACGTTAGCAGGTGAATTATTGTATCCAAGCCGCTGTCAGCCATCATTTCAACCACCCAGAATCTTAAATGTTTTAAAAACACTTGTTCTGGGGGTGCCTGGGTGGCTCAGTCGGTTAAGCATCTGCTTTTGGCTCAGGTCATGATGTCATGGTCCCTGGGTTCAAGCCCCGCGTCGGGCTCTGTGCGGACAGCTGAGAGCCTGGAGCCCGTTGCCTCCCTCTCTCTCTGCCCCTCCGGCGCTCACATTCTGTCTCGCTCTCTCCTTCACAAATTTTTAAAAAATTTTTAAAAATTGTTCTGAATTCAGTAACTGCCATGTGAAATTGGCTGAGCTTTAACACCCATCGTGAGTACCAGACCCATTTCTCGCCTTTCCCTTGGCAGCCCCCGCCACGCCCGGGCACCCCCGGCCCAGGCAGGGCCCGCTGCTGAGTCGGCCTGGTCCA